CTCCTTTCCCACAGGGGTGACAAAGCCACAGGGATGCAGTTTGTCTCCGCTTACACTACTTTCCTACACTATTAAATATTTGTAACCCTGCCAGCACTATCTTAGCCAAAATGGACTTTTCAGAACTCCCCGGAGCACTCGATGGCTCTTTTTAGTGTTGGTTTTTCTCCAGTGGAACACTGGCCAGCGGGCCAGTCGTGTGCAGCAGGCATGCTGATAAATATTGGTTTCCAGGCATCCAGTGATACATTTGTCAGCCTGTGACTAATTGTGGGTTTTTTTTTCCCTGTGAGATGTGTTTGGCTACTACACATGAAAATGTTTCAAAATTCTTACCTAATTCATTCCCATTGATATTTGAAGCTCATCGATACCGTGTCTTTGACAAATTTTAGATTGTGTAATTGCTGAGTAACGTGTTCCATAAGTGAGATGTGTTGTGACTCTGCCAGTTGTTGTGATGACTGGGGAAGGCTGGCTTTGGTGATTCGTTTGCTGCCCTCATCTTTACATAGAAACTGATGAATTCCCTCTCCAGAATATTATATTCTTATTGCATCTTGCCAACTTGAATATCTTGTTCACGTTGTTACTGGTTAGGATTGAATTGTTTCTAGGGAGAAGTGTTGCTATAGATTTTGAATAAGAAATAACACACACACACACACACACACACGCACGCACACACCGTTCTGAATGCTGGTGTTGTACTTCCAAGCATATATAAGCTTAATGGTCTGCCTGTCTGTATCATTTTCCCCTGGAATGGCATCTTAATAGTTTTCCCGGTTGGATTGCGTTAAATCTTTAAAGGCTACGTTCACTAAAACATATGTCCAGCATTTGGGCAGCCAGCGTCTGCGTGACCATTTTCGTGGAGTACAGCTTAGCTCTGCAGTGATTGGTATCTTGTGCTGAAGTGACATTAGCCGGCATGTATGACACATCACAGGGGCCCTGTATATATAGGTATGAATTTTATGCTTTACTCTAACTGCTAGAAATTGCTCTAAATCAACAGATAAAAGCTATGTTAAGATTCCATTAATTTGGAGTTTTACTTCAAACCCTTGCAGGGTGTGCTGAAGTGTATTTTGATGTTACTTTAAAATGGATTTTGTGATAGTATAAATGTACAAAGATGACATATGCAATATCTTTAAACATTTGTTTTTGTAGAGTTTGATCTGGGTTGCTGGAGTGTCTCCCATATTCAGATCAATTGTGTTAGCTGTCATGTATAGATAAACTTAGCTTCTCATCATTTCTGTGACGCTTAGGGTGAGCATAACAGGTGGAGGAAATGTCATAAATCCCAAACCAGGTCTCCATTAAAATTTATCTGTGTCCTTCCTTGTCCCCATTTTGCTTCCCTCCCCTGTGACAGGAGGCTGCTGGTGTGTGGTGGAAGATCCTTGAAGTGGTCAGTAACCTTGGCGGGGGGGTAGCATTAAGGTTTTAACAGGTGAGGAGCAGAGTTTCCGGATTTTGGAATATGGAGAAAAGCGCAGAGAAGCTTTTCACCATCCTATTATTTAATTGGCTTAGCCTTGGCTGGTACCATTTTTCGCCTCTGGCTCAGCGGTGCCCCATGTGCCATAGACCGTAATCCAGGGGCAGTTCTTAGTGGTACAAAGTTGGGGAAGCAGGAACTGGAAAATCCAGCCTATGTGATTTTTCCTGGCTTTGATTGATTTAGCTTTCATATTAAAAAGTTGTTTAAATCCTTTTTTTTTTTAAACGAAGAAGTACTTCTCTCAGATGGGAACTTGACATCTTAAAACTTTAAGTATCTCTTTCTTTAGAGCAAAGTATTAGCATTTATGTCTATTTTTTATTATTATTATATTATTCTATTTTAATAATGTTATATTATTGAAAAGCTGGTAGCAACTACCATACTAATTTTAAGGGGGTTCAGGAAAGTGCCAACTTTGTGAAGAGATTTCTAGGCACTTACATGCTTTAAAGTGTGACTAGGTATGTTTATGATCACTGAAAACTGAACTTGATTTTCACAGATATTTAATTGAACCACAAATAATAGAATTCTGTTTCATAAATTTGGAGTGATTTTAATATTGATTAAAATATTAATAAAGTAGAAAATAATAAAATGGAATAGAAAGAAACTTGCGAGTGTTAGCCAACTGAAAATGTGAAGGATGAAAAGCATACGCCACATTGAGTTTCTGCTCTGCCTCATGAAACGATTGGACTATATGCAGACAATCAAATAGATATCAATTCCTAGAGACTGTGGATGAAAATCACAGTGTTTCTTCTTTATTTTATGCACGTAAATGCTTTTTCAAGGATCACAGATATTTTTAAGCATAAAAAAGGAAACTTGAGAACTTTCCAAATTAAATAAAATAGTGGACACAAAATCTGTGACTCAGAGCAGGGGCCCCAGTAGTGTCTATAATACTTGTGGTTCTAATAAGTACTTCTGTATACCTCTTCTTTGCATGCTCTCTTTGACTTGTAAGAGTGCAAGCGGTCATCTCCACACATCCAGAGTAAAGTTGCATTCTGTTTCGTCTGCCTCTAGATTGGCATTTCAGGAATTTCTGGACTTTCTTCTACAGTTCTGATAGCAATATTCGATATCTGAGAATGACAGCATATTGCTATGTTAGGCACAGACAGAGATATTAGGCTTGACCTTCTCACACCAATGGGCTATTTATCATTCTGTCTGGGATACATTGTCTTGAAGTCTCAGCAAGAAACACCATAAAGGTTCTGCATGGACAGTCCTGTAAGATGGTGGCAGGTAGAGGTTGGCTTCCAGTGGTTTTATTGTGGCTATTTGCTCCTGCAGTCTATGACCCAAGGGTTCCTCTATTTTTGAAAGAAATCCTAAGATATTATTTAAAATGGTTCTGCTTCTTGAGATTATGACTATAGTGATTTGTCAACTTAGCATTAATTTATGGGCTTTTCTTTTTTTAAAAATTTAGTCTTATGGAGAATGCTTTCAATAATGTAAGATAATATTTAGAATCCCTTAACAACCATTTCTTAGGAGAAACAGTTTCTGATCACATAGAAGGAATATTTCTAATCATGTATACGTTTAAAAGGGTATGTCTCATCAGCTTTCATAAAAATGAGCTGTCGTCCTTCAAGTTGCTTATTTTTCTAATTATCTTTGGACATCTTTCCGTGTTGTCGAATTTTTTTATGGCTCCAGAGTACTCTATGGTGTGGACCTCCATCTGTGTAGCCATTTTCCTCCTGAACAGCGCTCAGAAGGTCTTGGTTCTGTGTACTTGCATATTATACTGCTTGAATTGTCGGAGTTAGAAAGTATCTGTCTGTCTGTCTGTCTGTCTGTCTGTCTGCCTATCCATCCTTCTATCTATCTATTTTTCTATCTATCCTCTCCCTCTTTTCCCCACCTAGAGTTTTGGGTCTTTAGGTTGCTGGAACCATAGACTGTATGCCCTGATTGCTTGTTGGATTTCAATATTCATTCTAAATGTTGTCATTTGGATAGGTCCAAACCTGAGTTACAAAGGACTAGCACATTTTATGAGTTGTAGGATAAGAGCAGCATGTTTAGAGAAGCCTGTCCTTCTGACCTCTTAGACATTAATCTACACCATTTAGCTTGGATGGCATTAGCTGCTTCATTGGTCTTGTTATACCAGCAGTGTTCTGCATGACTGAGCTTTCACAGAGTCCTGCCCAGCAATGGCTTGTTCAAGCTGTTTAATCAAGACAGAAAAATTTCTTAGAGGATATTTTGAAAACATTTATTTATTTTTTTTGCCTTGATTATAGAATGTTTGTATGCTATCGTTTCTCGCATGGCACACTGAAGTATTTGCGATTTTTAAAAATGTCAAATTACTGCATCCGTAGAAAGTCAAATGCCAGTTCTTCAGGCTGTCAAATCACCGGAGGTGGTAGTTTTTGTTTGTTTGTTTTTATTTTTGTTTTTTAATGGTATTCTTACCTTTTCATGTTCTTCAGTCACTACTTAATTACTACAGTGATTTATTTTGGTTGTGGGTCCTGCCCAGGTCATGAGGTTTAACACCTGCTGGCTGAGGCTGCTGCCATTCTTTGAAGTCTAAACTAGAATCTCCCAGATTGAGTGAAACCTTTTCTTTTAGACGTATATCTTTTGCTTGAAGATTTCATTTAAAATTAATAAAATAAGTTTTTTAAAAACGGGGTAGTAACATTGATAGCAATTTAGAGAAGAATTCACCTCTTCTCTGCTAATATGGTTTAATGTATTTTAAGCAATAACTTGTCTATTTCAGTCGTTTTTCCTCCCAACAAAGCTGCATCCTGCTGTGTATTGTAGCCACACCCTTAGATGTGTTTGTACCTAGTCTATTGTGCCTATTGGGAGCCACTGAGATTACATCATTGTGACACTTTTTGTGTTGAAATTAACCAGATTTCAGTGCTCACTATGAAGACGGCTGTAAGCCCTCATTTTCAGAGTGGTTTGCTACTGGCAAGTCCCTCAAGGTTGCACTGGCTTGTCTCTTTCCTCACAATGGTGTTTTCATGCTGTTTTTGCATTCTCCCTTTTTTACAACCAGTATTTCTTCAGACTATTGTCTGTATTTGCATGTCATATGCCCCCAACCAAAAAAGCATTTCGAGTCTTAAAGTAAAAAGATGGAAAAAAATCATACCAAGATATGGACTTATGAAACAGTTATCCACTTATAACAACAACAAAAAAACTCCTATAAAGAAGGCATGTGTTTTAAATTATATATTACCTGGAGTTATAAATCTAATTTTTCTTTCATGCTAAGATTATAAGCTACATTAAAATTTCTTGACAGTGTAAAAGCCTGCCCAATTGAAAGTCATTTGTAGTAGCTTACTAAGCATAAAATCAACTCACTGCTTTTTATTTAAATATGGAATTTAAGCAATTTGTTTTTATTAGTGAATTAAAATGCCATCATATGCTTAAAATATGTATTCTCTTCAACATCATGTTCCACTTTTGTCTCTCACAGTCTGTGATCAAAACAGGGCGACTGCTGATCAGTCACGAGGCTCCATTGACAGGCGGCTTTGCTTCCGAGATCAGCTCCACAGTCCAGGTAGAGTACCACGATGCCAACTGTAACATCTGTGCAGTTCTGTGCATCTACTCCAGAAGGAAAGCTTGCTTATCGCCAAATTCCAAAGTATGAACTTTTGGAATATGAGCATTTCCTCCCATCAGGGCTGTACTGTCTTTGAACTCATGGTGTGATTATATCTCTAGATAATACAATTTAAATTAATCATAGTGGAAAAATCCTTTATGAAAGAAGAAAAACTTGAGATGAATAAAATAAGTTGTGTTTGCTACCTTAACAGGAGAAGGGACCTCTTTTCAATATCAACCCAGTCTTCTTCGGAATAAAGCTTAATGTTGTTCTGAAATAAGTTGGTTATGAAAGTCATCTCAGAAATTCATAGTACTCACCCTTAAACCTGTCAAAAGCAGCTAATTTCAAAAAGTATTTATCAGTTTAATTAGTAATCAATTTGTGGGGTATTGTCTGAAGTACTTGAGGAATAATATAAATACTTTCATTTTTAAAGTGTTCACTTGAGATACCGGGTAACAGGGGAAAGCCCCATAAACTTCATTTCAAAAGGATTTACACTTAAAATCTTTCTATTTGTATATATATCATAAATATGTACAATGTGAAGGAATTGTACTTTTCCTTATTTTTTAAATTTAAAAGTAATTAAAATGTATACCATATGCATTTTAAACTCAGAATGTGTTTATCGTTTAAATGCTTTTCTTCTTTTTTCTGATACCATGATTCTTTAATTACTAAAATACATCTCTGTAGAAAATGCATAAGGGTTATAGTTTCATAGAAGTTACGGTGAAAGAATAATGCTGCAAATTCATTTTAAATTTTTAATCAGCAAATGACTTTTTCCAATAAAATAGTTTATGTGCTAGTTAGTTAAATTACATAGATTGTTTTAAAAGAATACTGTGAAGCAGATTTGAACAAAATATTCTAAAAATAGATCTAAGTAATCGCTGTATTCAGTGGGAATGAAGCCGTTCGTCTTCTGTAGCTACGGAAAGGCTGCAAAACGTGAATACTTGAGTTTTGTCAATTTTTGTTTTCCTGTTTACCTAATACCATTTGAGTGTCATGAATACTCGGTTTGCATTATACACTAATTATTGAGTGATAGAATGTACCAAATCTTTTAAAAATAAGGCTGCAGGAATAGTCACTGTAATACCAAGATGTTGTTTCAAGCCAGAGGCAGAACTGGCAAGAGAAACTGGATTTTCTGACTCCTGATAACTCTGTAGTGTACTGAAGCCTCCAGGAACAGAGTGATTGCCGCCGATAGGAACCCTGACAAACCCGCTGTTTGGATAATAAGCTCATGGCTTATACCAAATGTAATTTGCATATAATTGTACAAGGAAAACTACTAGAAGGTAGTGGAGCTTAGAATTTGTGTGTCTTTGGAAAGATTTCTTCCTCTGAGCTTGCTTTTCAAATGTGATCTCTATTGGTCGGCGGCTGTGGAGTCTAATACAGTTTTCAGACTGGAATGGACTTAGAAAGATGATCTAATCTGGTGTCTCCTTATTTTGAATAATATGTGGTCTCATGTTTATGGAAAAATGACTCTCCAGCCCCAAGAATACATTAGCAAATCTTCATTTCAGAAACATAGGGTTAGGAGTTTAACAACATGGCCATTGCAGCTTGCCAACCCCCAAAATCACGAAGAATGTGTCACAGTCGGGTCCTGCAAATGTGGGATGATTCACGGTGGTGAAAGCTGACAGAGAGCGTACCCACTGTGCAATCGGATTTGTATCATAGCATGAACGCCCCAAGACAAGGCAGCTTACACCACACCCCGACGCTCACAGATTGACCCCAGCTCCTTAGGTGTTCACTGGCACCTGAAACTTAATAGCCTCCATTGGTTCCCTTTTCACCAGATGCTTGTTCATCGCTAAAATGCTTTGACTGACAGGTTTATAAAGACGGGAAAAATCTTGAACTAGCACAGAAATTTTGAGTCAATGCTCAGAGAATAAATATGCAATCTTTTCTTAGAGTTCATCAGTCCCAAGAGGAACATTGAAATTTTGAATTCATTATAAAATTGTCTGTTTTTATAGAGAAATCATTCAACTAGTGAATGACAAGGTGAATTAGGTAATATTGATAAATTTATAAGGGATTTGCATTTAACGGTTTAGCTAATTAGAATTTTGTTTTGTCTTAATTCAAGCTTTATTTGCATAAACACAGAATCCAGAAAATGAATCTAAATAAGTCTTGATGGGTGTGTTTGCCTTTTATTGTTTTTACCTATTTATTGGTAAAGAAGATTAACAGAAAGGAAGCTAGAGATGTAGACTTTTTCCTTTTTCAGAGTAATATTTAAAAACAAGTCGAATTGCTCTCGGCCTTTTGGCTAAGATCAAGTGTAAAAATAAGTCGGAGTGGTTTTACAATTGTTTTATGCACACGTCCAGCTAAATGGGGTGGACGCTCTTCAGCCTCCCGCCTGGGAAACCTGGATCAGGTTGCCGGTGCTGTGGGTTGTTTTAAATGAAGTCACTGAAGTGAGTTAAAGCTGCTTTCAACACGTGGCGTGATTCATATGCCTGCATTTCTTTTTGATGTTTGGACCTTGTAAGGTTAGGAAGGATGAAATAGGGTTATGGAATTGAAAGTCAATTTTCTGGGCAGAAGAAGGAAATGTCCAAGGAAAATGTTTTCCCCATTGTTAGGGGACGCCGCTTGAGACTGTGGACAATAATGAGCTCTGGGTTTGGTCACTTCATGCTCAAGTGTCTGGCTCTCATCGTATCAAAGAATCTTAAGTTTTATATAAAATGGTTAAGTTACAGCATTGCATCACATGTTATTATGTGGAACATACGTGGCAGCTTTTTATAAACTCATGGCTAATTCTGGAAAATTTCTTACAAAACAATGCCTTAAGAGAGCAATTATAAAATAGTAAAATTACTGTCTTTAAGTATGCAGAAATATGAAAACTCTTAGCAATCTGAAAATGTTTTATTTATATATCAGTTATTACCCATAGTAAAAAGAAAACCGAGAATTTCATATCACACAAAAATAACTTAAGTTTTATAATTGATTTTATTAGAAACACCAGAGTATGCTACAAAAATTAAATATCTGACAGAAGAACACCTTAACAGTATCATGGTATTGTTGGCATTACTATGGAAAGATTATTTTACTTATACAAATAAAATATGAGAAGAATGAATATGAAATATAGTCCTAATTTATTTACACAACTTTAATTTATAGCAGATGGCTTTTCGATCAGGCAAGATGTTTGGAGTCCACATCTTCAATCTCTTTAGAGCTGTTTTTTCTTCTTCATATAGGACATCATTATAAATAATTTTATTGTGTAATAATGCTAAATTCAGAGAAGTGACGACCTTATGTTGAGTCTATAGAAATCATCCACACATTTATTAATGGTCTATTCTAAAATTTCTATGTAACGAAAAACACTGATAAGAATTAAAGAAAAATATTTATTCAAAAATATTGGATTTAATTTGGAAGTTAAGTAGGAGGAAGAAGCTGAGGTCTGGTATGCTTGTTACCCTCTGGGAGAGAGTTCGTGGTTCTTCCTTCAGAATATCACTGTCTCCTTCCATCGACTTCTACATCCCCATCTGTTCTCACTTTGGGGTGCGGGAACTTTTCCGCCCTTGCCTTTCCTTTGACACACGTTAACCCTCAAAGCCTGGATATCTTACATTTGAATCCCGGCATGTAAAAAAGTACACAGACAATATATTTTAGGTAATTCATTGACCCCCTTTGTTGTGGCATGGAGCCACAATTTCATTCTTTTCAGAAAATGAGTTTATGTCGTGCTTATGTTCCTCAGCTTTGTATAACCACAGATTTTCAAAAACAATATCTTTACTGTACAAAAAAAAAGCGTTAACTTCATCCCTTTAATCCCCCCCCCAATTACGTTATATTTTATATTTGTGAATCTGGTGCCCAGCACAGTAATTACACATTTAAATGTTAAGACCCCGTAGTCGGGGGCACTCTCACAGCTTTGGATGCATAGTGCGATTTCTGTAAAGATCCTGAAAAGCAGCCTTTACTATTAGCTTCCCGCGCAGTCCCATAATGACAGATCCTTGACTCTGATCTAATTGTGTGACCATAAAAGATAGTTTTATCCTCCCTCTGGATTCAATACTCAATAAGGGCGCCAATAATTTTAGGGATTGTGGTTCCTTAAAGGTTTCGTTCTCTCTCCTTTTTTTTTTCTTTTTTAAACACATGGAAGCAATAACTCCACAACCGAGAGTCCAACTGGGGAGGATGGGAACTTTCCACACCATTGTTTTATCCTTTCTGTGCGGTCTCCTTGCTGAGGATATGAACTGTCTCACACACGCGCGCGCACACACACACCCTCTCCTTTTCTCTCTCTCTCACACACACTTTGTAATGTGGTTGGGTTCTGATCTTTTGAGAGGGTTTTTATAGAGCCCCCGTGAATCATTGTGTGAAAGGAAAGTTTCATAGCTTTTCACAGAAGGAGTTTCGCTTTTCTTACTGTTCCATGTTGTAAAGGTTGATTTGGCAATGTTTCCCCATGTAAAGCCATTACTACCAAATATATAAATAACGATATTTAAGCTTCTCAGTATGAAAGAGAGAACAGATCCTAAAGGATTTTGAGTTTTTGCCACTGTGGTAGATGTAGCTATCATATTGATCAATTAAGAGTTATCAAGACACTAATTTGATGAGTTTACTACAACTTTGTCATTTCAATTTAAAACAAAGTGTTTATTAACAACATGTTAGTAACAAATGAAGCAGTCAGGGGAATTGTACTTCATTGCTATAAGATGGAGCCCTAAGATAACGGGTCAGCATATAATGTTTGACTGTGAGCTAGGTTTTGTTTTTGTTTCTGTTTTTTAAATTATGTGTGTGACATGTAATCATATCACATCATATATATATACATATAAAAATATATGCATATTATTTCACATTTTCACATTTAAATATATATACATATTATATATATTTCTTAAATATGAATGAAAAGTGTGCTGGAGAACAGAAAAATAAAAATAGAAATTTTATGTATTATATGTAAA